CCAAATGTCACCCTGGGGACAGGAATGTCACTCCATGGGACACTGGGGACATGAAATGTCACCCGTGGGGACACCGGGGATGCTGGAGGGGACACGATGGACAGGGTGGCGCTGGGGGCACCGGGACTGTGGGGGCTGGGAACGGGGAGGGGACACCGGGGACAAGGGACCGGAGGGACCCGGGGGACACCGGAGGTGGCACCTCTGGGACAGGAGACGGGACGAGTGGGGATGGGGACACCGGGACAGAGCACCGGGGACACCGGGACAGAGCACCGGGACACCGGGGATGAGAGCACCGGGACACCGGGACAGAGCACCGGGATGAGAGCACCGGGACACCGGGACAGAGCACCGGGATGAGAGCACCGGGACACCGGGACAGAGCACCGGGATGAGAGCACCGGGACACCGGGACAGAGCACCGGGACACCGGGACAGAGCACCGGGACACCGGGACAGAGCACCGGGACACCGGGATGAGAGCACCGGGACACCGGGGATGAGAGCACCGGGATGAGAGCACCGGGACACCGGGACAGAGCACCGGGAATGAGAGCACCGGGACACCGGGATGAGAGCACCGGGACACCGGGACAGAGCACCGGGAATGAGAGCACCGGGACACCGGGATGAGAGCACCGGGACACCGAGATCAGAGCACCGGGATCAGAGAACCGGGCACGGGACCACCGGGCTGTGCGGGCACCGGATCGCCAGCCTAGGAACGAGACACCGAGAACGGCAACGCGAAGGCACCGAGAGCATCTCCCTGCTGGGCACCGCGACCACCGGGGGCCGCCGGGACACCGGGGACAGGACCGCGGGAAACGGGACTAGCCACGAACGATACACCGGGGCCACCGGGACCGGGAGCGGCACCGGGAGCGGCACCGGGAGCGGGACCGACCTCCCTCCCCTCCCGCCACCAGGGGGCGCTCGCACCTCCCGCCGCGCGCGCTCACCGGGCACGGCGCCGCCGCCGCCGCCGCGGGCGCTCCCGGAAGTGCGCGACAGCAACCAATCAACGCGCAGGGAGGGCGGGTCACGTGAGGAGCCTCCAACCAATAGCGATACTGAAAGGGCGGGACTTTGCGGGGGTTAAGCCACGCCCCCTCGCTCCGCCTTTACCATCGAGTTGCGGCTGGAGAGGCACTTCCGGTTGGCGCGGTACTTCCGGTCGGAGCGGCACTTCCGGCGTGGCGGGGCCGGGCGGGGACACCGGGAGGAGGCCGCGGACACCGGGAGGAGGCCGCGGCCGCCGCTGAGCCCCGAGCGGGCCGGGCCCGCCGCCCGCGGTACGTGGAGCTGGGGGAGGGCGAGCCCAGAGGGTCATGAGGCGGAGTTGGAGGCTTTTCCACGCCTTTCCCCGCTCTCCCGGTGCTACCGGGGCCGCCCGTGGAGCGGCCCCGGTAGCACCGGGAGAACGGGGAAAGGCGAGGGGAAACTTCCATGGGGTAACCCCGGGGGGATCCCGGTGGATGGAGAGCACCGGGCCGGTGTCGGGGGGGGAATGGAACGGAACGAGCCCCGGGAAAACCGGGAGCGGCTCCGGCCGGGAACCGGGACAGGGAACGCGGGGAGAATCCCGGAGAATTCCCGGAAAATTCCAGAGAATTCCAGGAGAATCCCGGAGAAAGCTGGGGAGAATGTGAGGGAATCTGGGGAAAATTCAGGGAAATTTGGGAGAAATCCAGGGAAATTCAGGGAAAATCCAGAGGAATTTGTGGGAAAATTCAGGGAAATTTTGGGAAAAATCGAAATAAATTGGAATTCCCAAATTTCCAGTCCTGGAATTCCCAAATTTCCAGACCTGGAATTCCCAAATTTCCAGGCCAGAATTCCCAAATTTCCGGGATCAGAATTCCCAAATCTTTAGGGCCAGAATTCCCAAATTTCCAGGACCAGAATTCCCAAATTTCCAGGACCAGAATTCCCAAATTTCTGAGGCCAGAATTCCCAAATTTCCGGGACCAGAATTCCCAAATTTCCAGGACCAGAATTCCCAAATTTCCAGGCCAGAATTCCCAAATTTCCAGGACCAGAATTCCCAAATTTCCGGGATCAGAATTCCCAAATTTCCAGGCCAGAATTCCCAAATTTCCAGACCTGGAATTCCCAAATTTCCAGGCCAGAATTCCCAAATTTCCAGACCTGGAATTCCCAAATTTCCGGGATCAGAATTCCCAAATTTCCGAGGCCAGAATTCCCAAATTTCCAGGGCTGGAATTCCCAAATTTCTGAGATCAGAATTCCCAAATTTCCAGGACCAGAATTCCCAAATTTCCAGGACCAGAATTCCCAAATTTCCAGGACCAGAATTCCCAAATTTCCAGGCCTGGAATTCCCAAATTTCCGGGACCAGAATTCCCAAATTTCTGGGATCAGAATTCCCAAATTTCCAGGACCAGAATTCCCAAATTTCCAGGCCTGGAATTCCCAAATTTCTGGGACCAGAATTCCCAAATTTTCTGGCTGAGAATTCCCAAATTTCCGGGACCAGAATTCCCAAATTTCCAGGACCAGAATTCCCAAATTTCCAGACCTGGAATTCCCAAATTTCCAGGCCAGAATTCCCAAATTTCCAGACCTGGAATTCCCAAATTTCCAGGACCGGAATTCCCAAATTTCCAGGACCGGAATTCCCAAATTTCCAGGCCAGAATTCCCAAATTTCCAGGGCCGGAATTCCCAAATTTCCGGGACCAGAATTCCCAAATTTCCAGGCCAGAATTCCCAAATTTCCGGGACCAGAATTCCCAAATTTTTGGGACCAGAATTCCCAAATTTCCAGGCCAGAATTCCCAAATTTCCAGGCCTGGAATTCCCATGGAATTCCCCAAACCCCCCCGCGGAGCGTGCAGGATTTCTGGGAATTCTCCATTCGGAATCTCACCCCAACTTCAGGAATTTGATTCTCCAGGGAATTCCGGCCGGGCTGGATCTTCATTTTCCCGTTTTTTTCCTTTTTCCGGGATCAGATCCCAGCAGGAGCTCGCCAGGAGAGGGAAAAATGGGATTTTGGGAGGAATTCCGTGCACGGAGCGAGGCCGTGGCCGCCCCTTCCCGGAGGAATTCTGCTGCGGGAGGTAAATCCAGGATCCCTTTTTCCCGTGGGAATTCCTTCCCTTTTCCCGGGATTTCCTCCTTTTCCTTGGGAATGGGAAGGGATCCAGGGCGGGGATGGGGAATTCCCGGGATTCCCGAGGTTTGGTTGGAATTCCCGGCTCCGGAGCTGCCCCTGCCGGGTTTGTGTGGCCGGGATTCGCCTTGGGAGGAGCTGGGGATTCTGAGATTCCCGGGAAATCAGAGGAAAATCGGGAATTCTGAGATTCCCGGGAAATCAGAGAAAAATCGGGAATTCTGAGATTCCCGGGAAATCAGAGAAAAATCGGGAATTCTGAGATTCCCGGGAAATCAGAGAAAAATCGGGAATTCCTGGAGATTCCCGGGAAATCAGA